TTGGCAGTTACGCGAATACAAACGTTTTCTTTTTCGCGACGCACTGTGCACATCCCATCAGAATTAAAGATGTTAAATTTTGATTTATTGCTAAAAAAAATTATTTTGCATTTAGTAAGAGTCTAATTTAAGTGATTCCATGCGAAATTTGATCTAAATGAAGTATATTAATATTAATTAAAAAGAAAAACAAAAATCTATCTCTTTTGCTAATGCTTTTTAGACAACATTGGTTTTTTGACTGGTCTGTAACTTTTGAAACCGGCTTCGAGAGTAAGCCTGCGTACAGTACTAGAGTCAACACCTTGTTTAAGCTCGGCTACGACCTTTTTCAACGACACGAATGGTTGTTTTTTTGTAATTCTTATGATGTTTCGATCAATTCTACAAGTAATCCTAAGAGAGGCTTCACCCAAATAAACGGTTTTAACGGTATTTTGTCAAATTATATTTTTTTATAAGCTGCGAAACAACAAACTAATTAATTTTAAATATTTTGGCTATTTCATTTGAGCACTGCCATTTAAATATTTTTCAATTCTTGCTTCTTTAAACTTCAAAGTATACGTGTCACGAGCCATGATAAAAACATACTTCCATTACCTGATTTAATATTGAACTATTCTGTGTTTTTGTTCTAATTTGCTTAAAAACATAAATCACAGCATAAAAATGCAAAAAATCAAAAAAATATCTTGCTAGAATGCACTTTGGTCATAGATCTATCATTGATCTTGTCTCAGTTGCTATTGTTCTGCACAGCCGCATTTCGCAATATCTCATTATTTTTGTGAATTATTTAACCCGTTATTTAGAATTGTAGATTTTGTTGTTTTTTTATAATAGCTAATACAATAACAAATAAAACTGTGTATTTAGATTTTTGAATGAAAATAAAAAGTAGACAAAAAACTTATTTATTTGATGGGCAAATTTTGGTTGCTTTTGTTATGCACAACACTGTATATGTGTATTTTTATATTTCTGAATATAATAAATTATTTTAATAACTAATTTTTATTAATATCGTCTAGTGATAATATTCATGTATATATGTATAAAATTTTTAAAATTATATATTTCAATATTTTGTAGCAATGTGATAACAATACCAAATATACTTTAAAATTTTGAATTTCAATTAAGTTTGAATTTACTTATTAAAAATATTTGAGAAAAAAATTATCATAAAAAGCTGAGTAATGAGCATGCATTTAAGGGTGGTTTTGCCCAATTATATTTTTTTGTTTTTTGTTTTAAGCTAATGTGTAAACATTTTGTTGTTTTTTTTTTTTTGGTTTGACTGATTGTACATTTGCTTATGCGAAACGTGTGCATTTTTTTTAGCAACTTTGGCAAGATCGTTGTTTTTGTGCAGTATATGTATGTATATACAATTTATGTGCAAATAATATAATTTGTTTTGCTCATAAGGTTTGCCTACATTTGTTTTTGTAACTCATAATATGCATTTTATTATGATTACTTGATTGTACAGCTGATTTAGAAAAGGGAAAATAAATAATTTATCTTTTGCGCTTTCGTTTTATAATATAAGACATTAAAAATATTAACAAATTATATGTTTATAATATTTTAATATTTTTAAGCAATATGATATCAATTTCCAAACAAATTTTGTGTATAAAAAGATGTGAAAGATTTTGTGAATGGAACAGTCTTCAAAAAATTATTGAAGTGAATTAAAAGTAACAAACGAGTAGTAAAGATGCGTTTTTTTATTGTATTTGCCATCATTGCAGCCATCCTGTGTGCTTTGGCTGTAGCTGAAGAATCAAATCAACAGGAATTGATCAGAAATAAACGACAATTCGGTTACAATCCTTACTATGGAGGTGGTTTCGGTGGCTTTGGTAGACCAGGTTTCGGAGGTGGCTATTACGGACGTCCAGGCTTCGGTGGTGGTTTCTATGGAAGACCAGGATTTGGTGGTGGGTTATTCCGTCCAGGATTTGGATTCTATGGTTAAAGATATATAGGATCTACTACAAATGTTGGTGATAATATGCAAGATACGTTAACGATTAAAAATTAAGATTTGTATAATTGAATAAATAAAAAAAAATATGTGTAATAATTCAAAAAATGAGTATTTCTTAAAACTTATAGCCTTCTGTGTATATAATATTAATGTAAATTTTATAATATAATATGAAGACATCTTCAATTTTTTACAGTTTTCATTTAGTAGTGAAAAAAAACTATTGGTTTTGAAAAAATTTTCGAACAATATGTAAGTTATATATATTTGTGCCTATCTGAATGGCGATAAATTTGTCTCCCAGTTTTTGGGTTAAACATGTAATACTTGTTTTGGGCGGTTACAGTTTTTAATCCTAGGTGATCAAAATTTGGTCTATTGCTTAGTTATAGCAAGTAGCCCCCAAACACAACATCTGTTCAAATGATAACTATTATTTTTAACATTATAACTAATAATAACTATAATACAACGATTTGTGTGAAGGGTATTAAAGCTTCAACAAAACCAAAACAAAACTTTCTTCTTGTTCTGAGTTTTTAATTCTTAATTTATTTTCTAAAATGTATAAACCTTGAGTAATTGTCATCACAGCAATCCACACTTAATCTTCTACAAATTTAACTACTTGTACTGCTTGAATCAACATTGTCAACTTATGTTCTCAATTCTCCCCCACTTCACTAACTTCTGAATTTCAACTTCGTTTGCTACATGAAAACTTACAAAAATTGGTTTTTTTTTTGCTAATTCTCACAAAGAAAATTTTGCAAAATTTTAACACGGGAAATTTGCATTTAAACTCAATAAATTCACATTGTAAAAGGCACTTTCAAGTGGGGAGTGGTAAGTCGTGGAAAGATATGTAGCTACTGTAACTGATTTACGCCAGATTCATGTAACCAATAATATTCACTTTAACAGCAAGACGACACACAATACATCTCCGTTGATGTGGGGAAAACTTCTACTTGGCGGGTATGGTTCCTTATGTGTATGCATATCGCACATTCAATGCGAGTGCGTACTTCAGCGACTTATGCCATACTAAGCTTCTTCTTCTTTAACTTTTACATATCCCTGCTCCATTCTCTTCTGCTATTAACTTTTCACATACATTTGAGCAATTGTAAGACTATCAACTGCAAATAAGTAGATTTCTTTTGAAGGTTTATTTTGCATAGTGCTTTAGGCAAAATTTACGTTATTTACGATATTTACGGATTTTAATACACTGCAGTATTCATTATTTCTACGTATTTCCTTGTACTACTTGAGATACATCGTCTTTTCCTTAGGAATGTTGGAATTTCTAGTACTTCTTGAAGTTGTAATTTAAATATGTTAATGTTCTTTGTAAATATTTTCATTGCAATTGTCAGTTTGTTTTGATTAGAAATTTGTATAATTTTCTTAGCAAAGAAAGGTCATACATATCATTTAGAAAGCAATCAAACTGAAGTAGATTGGTAGAAAAGTGTTGTATAGATATTGTATAGGTTTAGAATAGGCATTGAGATAAAGTAATAATTTCAATCGAAAATTAGAAAAATAACTTTTATTAAATTAAAAATAATTATTAAATAAAGTTTCTTTATCAAATTGTCTTTGTAATAATTTTTTGAAATCCTTTTTATAAAATTTAAATAATAACAATATTTTCTGTTTTAATATACTTGTTGGCTATACTTATCGTAGGGTAGAGGGACTACGGATAATATAAATCACATATGCTAAAACCAAAAGATGATTTATTGTTATTTAAAATAATCTCTATTTCGGAATTTTTCCCGATGTATGCAGAACTTCAGTAAATACCAGTGAATACTAACTTCATATATAGAACTGCTTAACTTCAGTGAATACCAACATGAATATTTCGTCTATTTATAGTAATAAAGCATTACATAACATATTTCTCTAATTCGGGGTTGACCAAAGCACGGCCTCGACTAAAATTTGTGCGATCCACGACGTTTTTCTAATCTACCACATTTAGGCAAATTTTTCTTTGTTATATTTTGGTAACAATTCATTATTTGTATTGTATCCCAAATAAGTGTTTTCAAATGTTTTAAATAAGTTATAACACTTCACGTAAATTTATTTAATTGAAAAAAACTTTAGTATAATTTAGTATAAAATTAATATCCAGGGACTAAATTAAATAATATAGTTGTATTTTTATTTTTCTCCAGAAAAATTATGAACGTATGTATTTATTTCTGCAGCCCTCCAATCTATTCAGTGATTTGAATTAGGCCGCGTCCTACCTGATTTGGACAACACTGCTTTAAATATTTGACTAATTTTCATTTCGAATCACTATAACTTTTTACACCAGCAACAAATTGTACAACTACTTTCCAGAAACTTCACCTTTCAAACACGTATTCGTTCGATATAATTGGAATGATGTTGTCATAAATGGGTAGCGGAGTACCGACATCATATAGTGACAAAAAAACGGGGGATACTTACCACCATCACTCAATATTTATAATAGTGGTGAGATATTTTAGAAGGCACCAACTAAGACATGTCGACGTTATTTAGTTGGAGAAGGTACTAACATAAATAAATAACATATCACTGTCTAATGCCACCGATCTGCAGGGTATTTTACAGAATCAGTACTGAATTTGGAAAGGCTATTAAGATCGCCTAAATTTTTCTTTTATGCTAAAAAGCTACAGAGGTCAACACATTATTATCGAATTTATGTCCCTTCTTTTATTTTTCTTTAACAGAAACTAATGGCAATGTAAAAGTATTGGTGTGGTGTTAAAA